TATTTGGCATCTTTTACCTAACTAATTAATACAGAATTAATAAAGTTGTGGATATTTATTTATTTTTGCAGTATTGAGAATTAAACCCAACGCCTTCAAACTGAGCTACACCCCCAGCTATTTATTTGATTTTGAGCCAAGGTCTCACTAAGTCATTAAGTTGCCCAGGCTGGGCTCAAACATGCTATTCTCCTGTCTCAGCCTTCCAGGGTGCTGGGATTACAGGCATCTACTACCATGACTGGCTATTAAGGTTCTATTTTTGATAGAGGTGAGAGCATTCTGAGGAGAAAGAGAGATTAGGAAACCATATCTTTTATTTGTCCAAACACAGAAAATCATCTCCCTTATGAGTGTGCTTTGTTATTCTACAAATAAACAAGTTAGTTTGGAGTATTTTAATTTTTATCAGTAATTGAGTCTATATCTTTAGCTTGAGATGCTTTTTAAAACAAATTGGCTCAGCCGGGCATGGTGGTGCACGCCTGTAATCCCAGCACTCAGGAGGCTGAGGCAGGAAGACTGTTGTGAGTTTGAGGTCAGCCTAGGCTACAAAGTGAGCTCAAGGCCAGCTTGCACTGCATAGTGAGACCCTGTCTCAAAAAGCCATAAATAAATAAATGAGTAAAACAAACTGGTTCAGGATGTTTCTCGCTATATTCTGGCTTGCTTATGTGGTATATGTAGCCCCCAACATAGTACTTGCATTTAGTAGATACTCAGTAAATTTGTTAGACAACTAATGGTTTCTGTGATTTTTTTTCTAATTAAACAAGTGGCATAAATATTTTAAAAGAATTCTTAATTTTATTACACAAGTTGATTCTTTTTGCATTTTTTTAATGTCTTTTTGAAACAGGGTCTCACTATGCAATTCAGGCTGGCCTTGAGCTTGCTTTGTAGCCCAGGCTTGTCTCAAACTCACAAGGGTCCTCCTGCCTCAGCCTCTCGAGTGCTGGGATTACAGACGTGCGCTACCATGCCTGGCTTTGGGTCTTTGATTTCCTTTTTTGTTGTTGTTGTTTTTTGAAACAAGGTCTCACTATGTAGCCCAAG